GCTGGCGTAGTCAGGCCGGGGGGAGTTTGGGGATAGGTGCTGGCGTAGTCAGGAAGAGGGGAAGCTCAGGGAAGCTGGCCAGCTTCTTTACTCCCCTCCCTTCCTCCATTGCTGAGCTTCCTCTCTCTGTAATGGAGCTGCCATCCTTCTCAGTTGCTCCCAGGTCTGGCCTTATTGCAAAGGGGAAGCATTTGGGAACAACAGAAACTCAGCCACATAGTGGCAGACCACATAAAGTAAAATAATGGGGTTGCAGAGTACTGAGGCACATAGTACATAAAAATCGGCAACTATCTGTTGACTCAAGGACTGCACAATAAAAGCACAAAAACTGTGAGCTGGGAGCTTGATGGAATGGGCTTCCATGGCTAAACAGCTACATGCAAGCCTCGCATCACCAAGCACAATGCCAAGTGTCGGATGCAGTGGTGTGAAGCGCGACGCCACTGGACTCTGTAGCAGTATAAACATGTTCTGTGGGGGGATGAATCACACTTCTCTGTCTAGCAGTCTGATGGATGAGTCTGGGTATTAGTGGGTGCCAGGAGAATGTTACCTGTCTGATTGCATTTGGTGGAATATAAAACATAACCCACATCCAGTTAAAGGCAGTTAGTGGAAATAAAATGGTTACAACTTTCAGGAAATTCAACAGAAGATCCATGATTAATCTCTGGAACCACAATGTGATTCAGACGCTGTGGAACAGCTAGCTAAGCTTCATGTTACTGAGACTGGGAAATGCTTACCATGTCCTGCAAGCTTCAAGGGTAGAAATGCTTGAATAACTCCTTACATGTACCAATGTCAAAAACTTTTGTGTGAAGAAATGTGATTTTAGAGTTTTTACGAGCAAAAAGGCTCGGGAGATAGAGATACCGGAAAACCCCCAACTGGGTAAGTTTATTAGAAAAAAGACAGAACAAAAAGTAATACAAATATGGGGGTTTAAGCCTGGGGGCAGTCATCCTCAAATATTGCCTAAAGAAAGCAAGTTCACTAACATTATTAGCAGAACCATTCCTTCTCTCGTCTCTCTCAAGGTTCTTCTCTGCATGGGCTTTACGCCTCACCAAGGAGGACTGCTTCACCCCCTGGTGGGGGCAATCATGGGCCGCCAGCCTTGTCCTGTTATCGCCCCTTAAGGCCAATGATGAAGAAAGGATGGTTATGGTTGCCGTGTGTTGCTGAGTGCTCCCCATGGTGCTAAGTGGCATATTTATGGCCAGCCATCAAATCATTGTGTACCTCAGATCCTTTCCATGTACTGATTGGGGAAGCTCTGCAAACTTCAAATAACATTGTGAGTTATTGGGAATATGTTACCGGCTCTCATTTTTTGTTTATTTCTAATTACTCTTCCAATGGTCAAGAAGCGCTAATGCATTGAATGCAGAGAATTTGACAATTCACATCAGATATGCATGAAATATGCTTCAGATATTACAAGTGGTACACTGTGATTTTGACATGCAATGTTTAAAATTATGTTGTGGTTTCAACACAAGCGTGGTTACCACGGTTGTGAACTTTTCACTTAATTTTGATATTTGTGTAACAGGTTCGTATGATTTGTTTCTGCAGTCTGTTTTGTAGTTATGTCTAAAGGTTCTTCTAAGTAGTATTTAAGAGTACATTTCCTCAGTGAAATCTATGAGGGGTTTCATTTCTTATATCAATACAATTTAGGAATGCATTCTTGAGGTGAAAACAACACTATTTGTGCTTTTTTTCTGCAGTCAGGTATTCTGATAAGGTTCGAGAGGCTCAGTGTTACGGAAATCAGAAACTTGGTCCTTACTCCTAATTCTTTGTTACCAGAAGTAATGATAACTGAACCATCCACCCACAAGCTCAGCCATGCTAATGAGCCAATGCTTCATCTGTTGTAGAGATGGTAACTCCACTCCTGCAGGGCAGGGGCCTGTTCATATTTTTTGGATGAATTTTTAATAATATTCCAATTAAGACCTTGAAACTAGCTGAGGGTATCCCCAAGCTCCAATGTACTCCTTTAAATTAATTTGCTTTGGTGGAATGAAAGCTGGCATCCACAGGAAACCTTCCGGGACGAGGCTTTCCTCTGAACTGATCTACACAGAGCAGCCTTGAGTGAGTTTAGTTTCATTAGCTTTTTGTGATTCGCTGTTAAACAGACACTGGAGCTTACCTAGATTTCTGCACTTTGAAGATCTCTCCTTAACTGACGCCATCGATCCTTCTTCCAGCAGGGTCCCCTAGTCGTGGTCATGGGGGTCAGTTAGCTGGGATGATGGACAGGACGTTAGTCCATCACAAGGCACATAAGCTACGGGCAATTTGGAGACACCAATCAGCCTGACCGTAAGTCTTTGTACCATGAGAATAAACTGGAGGAAACCATCACAGCAGATGGGGAGAACATGCATGAACTCCACACACACAATTTCTGGACACAACTCTTTGCGGCAATCATAATAACTTTGAACCAGGGGCAGAATAATGTATAGGCTATCCCAGGCTACTGTCTCAGGGAAAAAAAGAACAGCTTCTTAACTTGTGTTAGGATCTGTCTCCATCTGTTCAGTCCTGACCAGCTAGCAGAAATCCAGTGTCTTCCCCTCTTCTTCCTAATTATCCTAACCTGTTCCCCATTACATTCCTAGTGTTTAGTTATTGTTATGTTCTGCACCTGTTGCTCATGTTTAGTGTATATATGTGCTTTATCTACGCCTTTGTTAGTGTTAGTGCTCTGTGTTGGTTCCCACTCATGACTAGTTAGTGTTAGTATGCTCTGTGTTAGGGGCTTCTTGATGCCCCTTGGGATATTCCCTCCCTCCTTTTGCCCCTGTTTAGTAATTTGTTTGTTATCTATGTGTGTTCCAGTCTTTCAGTGAAGTCCCACTTGGTTACTCCTACCTGCATTTGGATCATCATTCCTTCCCCATTCGTGACAACTAGCAATAACTGAGTGTTCATACCGATCTCAGTTTAGGGAACCTAGATAAGTTAATCCACCCCTGTTTCAAACCCTTGACCTTCAAGGCGTGTGGCAGCAGTGCTGTCTTCGGAGCCACCATGCCACACTGTTAAGCTAATAACCTTCAGTCATTTTACTGAAAATATGGCATATCTGACTATAGATTTTTTTCTTGGACATTGATATCTTCAATGCCTGCGTATTGAATAAAAGAGCATGACAGTTCTTGAAGCAGTGCTGCTCATACATATTGTATTGGAAATACATGAACCCTTGTGAATTAAGAACTGAAAGCTGACTCTGAGGTCTGATTTATAAATCCATCCATCCATTAACCTTTTACCTGATTATCCAGTGGGGGTGGAGCCTGGCAGCATAGGCCACAAGGCAGGGGGGGCACTCAGAATGACGGTCCGTCCCATGACACACATGCTCATACGCTATGGGCAATTTAGAGATTACACTTAACCTGCCTGCATATCTGTGGACCATGGGAGGAACTTTGTGTCACCGAGGGGGAACATGCATGCGGTGCCCCCCAGCAGGGATGGACTACAAACTCCCAACCCTGCATGGGCGATGCAATGGTGCTACGAAGTGCATCCCCCTGACTTATAAATGTTATTAAATGTGTATAAAATTATCACTACTAATATTAGATGGCATGCTATCCATCCACCGGTTTTCTGTAACTGCTTGTCCTATTCTTGGTCACGGGGGGGTTGAGCTTATGGGCACAAGGCAGGGAACGACCCAGGACGGGGTGCCAACCCATCACACTCACACCTATGGGCAATTTGGTAACTCCAGTTAACCTTAGTGTGTTTTTTTGGACTGAAGGGGGTTTGGGGGGGGCTGGAGTAATACAAATCCCACACATATGGAACCTTATTTTTTCCTTTTTAAATAGCACACCAGTGTTGCACCCTACTAGTCGATTTACCTTTTCTGCCCCCTTGTGATTATTTTTGTAATGACTTTTCCTTCACTCCCTCCAATTACACGCACATGGACATATTATTAATTCACTGAATCAGACGTGTTTTCCAGGGTCCTTTAGATGGCACCAGCTACACACACCCAGAGACCACGTCATTCTCAGTATTACAGAGCTCTGATGGCACCAGCTACACACACCCAGAGACCACGTCATT